CCCCCCCGGTCCCACCCAGGACCCAGGTGTCCATACACCCAGCACCCCGCAGAGGATGCAGGCGTCCCTCCCCAATCAGACACATCAATGAGCAGACACTGCTTGCATTTATTTTCACCCCAGTGCGGGGGTAGGGGGGCGCAGGGAGCCAGACACCTGGGTTCCCTGAGGGGAGGGGGCTGAGGGTGGGAGCAGAGGGGGCCCAGATGCCTGGGTCCCATCCAGGCCCTCACTCCCGGGCCAGGCAAGTGGTAGCTGCCCCGTCAATGGCCCACACATGCCAGCCATCACGTGCCGTCACGTCCACGGCGCCCAGGTGCTCATACAGCCCTGGTGCTGCCCGGCCCCCGCGGGGCCACAGGAACCGCAGCTCGGGGCACCCATGCACCATGGCCACCTGGGGGCAGAGCAATGCCCATCACACCCGACCCAGGGCACCCAGCTCTGGGGTGTCAGGGATCAGTGTAACACAGCTGGATGCACCGAGCTCTGGGGTGTGCCCTGTATGAATGTAACAGGCCCAGATGTACCCAGCACTGGGGTGTGTCACACCCGAGTGTAATGGGGCCCGGATGTGCTCAGCTCTGACATGTGTCGCAGCTGGACGTAACAGAGCTGGATGCGCCCAGCTCTGGGGGCCTGGGCTCAGTGGAACAGGCCCGGATGCACCCAGCTCTGGGGTGGATAGAACAAAGACACAGCCCCCCCATCCCCATCCTGGGCCTTACCTTGGCCAGTGCCTGCATCAAGCTGGTGCCAATGCCTCGTCCTGGGGAAGACAGGGATGGACCTGAGACCTCTGGTTTGGTGGGGGGTGTTCTCTGGGGCCATGATGCAGCCACCTCTGGGGTGTGGCACGGCCAAGTGTAACAAAGACCCTCCTTCCTTTGCCATCACTGCCACCCCACTCCCAGAGAACCCAGGCATCTGGGTGCTCAGCTCCGCCCGTTCTCCCCAACAGGATCCCCCCTCCTCTGTTAGAACCCAGGCATTTAGGGAAGTCCCAGCTGGGGAGGCAGCCAGCTCTGGGGTGGATCCTGGCTGAGTTTAACAGGGACCTACAGCTGAGATGCAGCCAGCTCAGGGGAGGGGTGCACAACAGATGCCTCTTCTGCCCCCCTTCCCAGCCTGGGGGACCCTGCCAAACCCTCCAACTGCCCCCCCTAGTCTCCCTCTGGACCCCTCCTACCTCGGAACTGGGGCATGACATACAGGTCCTCCCCAAACAGCACCTTCCCTCCCCATGTGCAGTAGCTGAAGTAGTGGAACTGGTACCCAACCAGCGGGGGGCCTGTGGGAAGCAAGGAGTAAATGATGCGCCCACATCTGGGGTGTGTCACAACTGGGTGTAACAGGCCCAGATGCACCTGGCTCTGGGGGCCAGACTCAGTGGGGGCCTGGATGCACCCAGCTCTGAAGGGGCTGGGCCAGGTGTAACAATGCCTGGATGCGCCCAGCTCTGGGGCCTGGGCTGGGTGTAACAAGGCCAGATGCGCCCAGCTCTGGGGGGGCGGGCTGAGTGTAACAGGCCTGGATACACCCAGCTCTGGGGGGCTGGGCTGGTTGTAATGATGCCCAGATGCACCCCGCTCTGCAGGGCAGGGCTGGGCTGGGTGTAACAGACCCAGATGTGCCCAGCTCTAGCGGGCCAGGCTGGGTGTAACAAGGCCCAGATGTGACCAGCTCTGGGGGGACTCTCACCATCCTGGCTCATGGGGGGCCGCTCAGCAACGAGGATCCCAAATTTGGGTTGTGGCCTGAACCCATCAGCCTCCAGTTCTGCAGGGGTGGAAAGGGGGGAATCAGAGTAGGTCAGGAGGGGCCTGGACACCTGGGCTCTGCCCCCACCCCACTCTCATCCCCCAAACCCCACTCCCCTCCCAGAGAACCCAGGCATCCGGGCTCCCGCCCCCCACCCCTGTGCTCACCTTCTGGGGTAGTTGTCACCTGGTCCAAGGCCTTGTGGCAGGCAGCTGCCTCCTAGAAGAGACCCCTGAGCTTGTTATGCTCAGCTGGGCCCCACCCCAGAGGCAGCCACAGCAGGCTTCTGTGGAAGGGAGGGGGGAAAGCAGGTGGAGGGGTGGGAGTCCGGACACCTGGGTTCTCTCTCCCTCACCCGAATGAGCCGCATGACCTCCTTGAGGTCCCGGGGGCCGCAGGCCCGGATGAGGCAGCTCATGGCTCGGGTGATACCTCTGCCAGACCCCTCCCCTCCCCTCCTGCCCCTTTAAGAGTTGGGGCCCCATCCCATTGGATAATCAGTGGGGTAGGCCCCACCCCGTCACACTGGAAGGGGTCAGCGGAGGGCACCAGACAGGAGGGATCCTACTGCTAACACCAATACAGACACCCCCTGCCCTGCCCCCAGCCCAGAGAACCCAGGCGTTTGGGGCAGTGGGGGTGTCCTGGGTCACTGGCTTTGCCCCCCTGCCCCAGTCATGTGCGGGGTGAAGTCCAGCCTGTGGGGTAACCATTAACCTGGATGCCTGGGTTCCTTGAGGCATGGGGCGGGCTGTGGGGGCCCAGATGCCTGGGTTCTCTGGGAGGGGAGTGGGAGGGCTGGGGGTGAGAGCAGGGCTGGGAGCCTGGACACCTGAGTTCTCCCCCATAAGGCCTAGAAAGGTCAGGGCCTGACCCAGAGATGAGAACCCAGGCATCCGGGCTCTGCTCCCCACACAAGGGACCTCGACCCCCTCAGGCCTGGCACCATGGATCCCCATTGATGGTTGCAGTGGGATCCCACCTCTGGCTGGTGCACTCTGCTGGCTGCTCCCCCTTGCCCCGCCCACAGTATGATGTCACCAGCACTCCCCCATTCTTTAAAGGGCCAGGAACTCAGGGGGGTGAGGCCGGACGGAGGTGACACTGGAGCCATGAGCTGCCTCATCCGTCCCTGCAGCACCCGGGACCTCAAGAAGGTCATGAGACTCGTATGGGTGAGGGGAGAGAACCTGGGCTCCTAGACCCCCTGCTCTCACCCCCCAGCCCTGCCTTCTTCCCAGGGAACCCAGATTCCCCCAGACCCCCAACCCAGGGGACTCAGGCATCCAGGCTCCAAAACCCCCCACCCTAGGGAATCCAGGCATCTGGGCTTCCAGCCCCCACCCCTGCACCCCGTGGGATCCAAGCATCTCGCACCCTGCCCTCAGGGAACCCAGGTGTCTTCCCCACAGGGGACCCAGATGCACAGGCTCCACTCCCCAGGGAACCCAGGCATCCAAGCTCCCAGCCCCCCACCACGCCAAGGGACCCAGGCATCTGGGCTCCCAGTGCACCCCCCCTACCAGGGCACCCAGGCATCAGGGTTCCCCATCCCCCACCCACCACCCCAGGGAGCCCAGGCCTCTGGCTCCCACCCCTCTCCCAGGGGACCCAGGCATCTGGGCTCCCAAAAACCCCACCCAAGGGAACCCAGGCACCCTGGCTCCCAGGCCCCCCTGCCCTGGGACCTAGGTGTCCAGGCTCAGCGCTGTCCCTGCAGGAAATCGCGGGGATCTACAAGGTGCCCCCAGGGGAAGTGAAGACCAGCGAGGAGGGTGAGAGGGGGTGGGGATTGTCCCTGGGGGTGGGGCCAGAGGGACACACAGGAGGAGGGATCATAGGGGCGGGGCCAGGGGCTGGGGCTGTTGGGGTCCCAAAGGGGTGGAGTTTATGGGGAAGGAAGAGCAGGCCCTGGGACAGTTTATGCTGAAGAGGGAGGGGCCTATTGAGGAAGGGGCAGAGCTAGGGGGCTGGAAGGGGTGGGGCTTAGCCCTCCCAGCCCCACCCCCTGCTGACATCACCCCCCGCCCCTCCAGCATTGACCCAGGCTGGGTTTGGGGACCCGCCGCTGTTTGAGTGCTTCGTGGCCCAGTTGCCCCCAGGGCAGACAACACCTGAGGGTGAGCATGAGTGTGGGCGTGGGAGAGTGGGCATGTGGGGGGCTGGGTCTGACCCCTCTGACCCCGCCCAGGTCACTCCATCGTGGGCTATGTGCTGTCCAGCTACACGTACAGCACCTGGCGTGGCCGGAGCCTCTACATAGATAACCTTTACGTGCAGCCACCCTACCGAGGTAGGACTCAGGTGTCCGGGCCCCAGCATCCCGCTCTCACCCCCTACCACCAAAGGACCCAGGCGTCCGGACCCGGACACTCTGTTCTCACCCCGCAGACCCAAAGGACCCAGGCATCTGGGCTCCGGTGCCCCACTTTTACCCCCCACCCCCAAAGGACCCAGGCATCTGGGCCCTGGTACCCCGCTCTCACCCCCACCCCGAAAGGACCCAGCCATC